CCCCAGCCCCAGCCCCGAGGAGTCTCCCTCTCCTAGCCCCAGCCCTGAGGAGTCACCTTCCCCAAGTCCCAGCCCCGAGGAGTCTCCCTCTCCTAGCCCCAGCCCCGAGGAGTCTCCCTCTCCCTCTCCCAGCCCTAGCCCCAGCCCTGAGGAGTCACCCTCTCCCAGCCCTGGGTAGCTGCCGCCCAGCCCCGACTTGCCGCCGCCCAGCCCCGAGTCGCCGCCTTCTGGTCGTTAGTTGCCGCCTCCAAGCACTGATTCTTCCAGCCACAGCCCAAGCCCCATGACAGAGGACCCTCCGGCCCCTAGCCCCCCAGCAGCGGATATATATCGTACTTCTACCCTGCGAAGTGGCTTGGCTTACCTTTTGGACTCATCAATCTATCCTCATGAAGCGTTCCCATTACTAGGCAGAGAGTTTACACGAAGTTGTTCATTCGTGTATTCTACTCTCTGCGTCCCGAACCACCCAATTTCACCGGCCAACTGGGATGTGGCTGAGTAAAAGCCCAAGTACGAAGGCCTGTCCTACATACACAGCTTTTTGCCGCCAGCTCTTTACTCCCCAGGCTGTATATTACGTGGCAGTGCTCTGCCAAAACTTTGAAAAGATATGTTTGCCTGCACATGGGTTGGACGAAGTATGAAGTTCTATTCTGGTGACATATTGGTCGATCGGATCTGAATGGTAGGATACAATTTATGGAGTGTTGTGGGGGCTTGGGTTAGTCCCCACAACGGTGGACCGCTGTATATGACCTGAATTAGGAATATTACAGACGAGACCCCGAATGCAGTGTGATGGTTGGGCTTCATAGGCGTCACAAGGAGGCGTGGACTCGGCGCAGAGCGGGAACAGGTGGAAAGTGGGGAAAGGGCCCGGTCAAGGGGGACCCCCACAACAGCAGGTGTAGGCAAGTAATGAGTGTACCAGTCTGAACCCGGAGACCTAGGGCTGGGTGCGTAAGCTCCCGAGCGGCGCCACCCCATCCTGATTGGGTGCCGCCAGGCATGGTTGCACTTGGCGGTGACAACCGGCAGAGAACACAACCAATCTAAACCTCATAACGGTGATCCCGCAAGCCCTGTCAGTGCATCACTAAGTGACCCAGCACCCATTATCTCCCACCTGACAACTAAGGTGAGCTTGGGGTGGAGGTGCGATTTGACCACTAGGTGCACAGCCGTCTAGGCCTTGTCCCCTGGCACCATCAGCCTGCCGTGGGACTCTGCGGCGTGGCCCTCGCGGCAATGCTGCCACGCCTGATGACGATCCCGGCCATGCCAGCCCAGCTGACACCCCCCCCCCCCAACCACTGAGACACCTGCACACCCAGGGCGAGGAACCGCTGGTGCGTCACAACAACCAGCCTGGCATCATCGCCACCGCTGCCTTTGTGCTGACTGAGTTGGGGATCAACATCATGACTGTGGCTCACGGTGGGCCCGGCGCTGACGCCATCATGGCCATCGGCATTGACGGCTCCCCCGACAAGCAGCTGCTGGGGGCCATCAGCTGCATACGCACCGCGCAAGGACCGCAGCCCTGAGCAGCCACGGTGCGTGGTGCGGGAGCAAGGGGGACGACCAAAAGCCGTGTGCCTCTTGGATTGCGCATTGTGTGACAAATTGAGGGACTGTGAGGGGCAGGCGAGTTCACTGGCGACTTCATAGCGTGGGGGGCTTGTGCAAAGAAACACGCCCACACCTTGGGCTGGGTCGCTGCAGGCTTGCAGAAAGGATGGCTCTGCACGCCTCTACTGGCACCCCAGGCCGAGTCCTTGGCTCCCTCACAGCAGCCTGCGCTTGGCATGCTTATGGGGGGAGTACTTGGTTCGCTTCGATCCCGAGCCTTTCCCCCTGACGGGCGGGGGCAGACCGACCGGCGCGTGCGCCCCCGCCAGGAGTCGTTCCTCCAGTTCTCGGTATGCACGCGTCAGCGTCGCCCAGTGTGGGCCTCCCTCCAGCCGTTCCGCACGGTCCAGCAGACCCTGCACCCTCTGTCGGAAGGCGGGGAAGTCGGCGACCACGTCGCGGCAGGGCTGGGCGCACGAGCTGCTGGGCGTGTCGAGCAAGGACGGGACTTGCGGGCTGGGGGTCATGGGCGACAGGCAGGTGGTGGCCGGGGTGGAGCAGGTGCGGCGGGGGGTGGTGCATGCCGCCTCGGCCTTGGCTTCCCGCTTGCGCATGGTGGTCTGAGCTCCACTACCTTCCGGTGGCGGGCCTGCAGATTGAGGTGGGGGATCGAAGAGCAGCGGGGTTGATTTTGATACAGGGTTCATGTGGGTTGCTGAGACACAGTTGCCCGTCCAGCTCTGTGCAACAAGATCCAACATGCGGGGAGCCCCCCACATCGGCAGCAGGCCATGGTCGGAGCGAGAGGGTTGCAACACGACAGACTCCACCTCCCTCGCACGGGCCCCACCCTCCCCCTTTCCTTCACACGAGTCACGACCCACCTCTGCGCTCTGCCTCCGCAGCGTGGGCCCACATGTGCTCCAGTGTCCCCATGCAGGAGCCGTAATGGCTGCCCAGGTGCCGGATGATGCTGGTCTCGGTGAGCGCGGGGTCGATGCTCATCCAGACGGCGATGGAGTGCTCGCACACCGCGCCCCTGGTGGACGCGAGGCAGGAGCAGCCGTGCATCTGGGAGGCATCCACGCGGTGGCCCAGGTCCGGGTCCCCCGTCTGCGAGCGCACGGTCCACACGTCACCGGGCTCGTCCGCCAGCCGGACCACGGCATCGCGCGGGACGCCCCGCGCCTCGCGGCACGCCCCACGCACCGCCAGCTTGCGGGCCTTGTTGTGGCGCTTGCCGCGCAGGTTCAGCTGCAGCTTGGTGTGCGCCTCGGCGCACAGGTCCTCCAGCACCTGCAGCAGGTAGTCCACTCGGCGCCCGGTGGCGGTGCTGTGCGTCGCGCCCAGCCGCCGCTTCAGGGTGGCATTCCAGCCCTCGCAGCAGCAGATGGAGGACTGCCCGCTGGTGTTGTAGGTCCTGAACCCCGCCACCCAAGTCTCTGGTGGTGGGAAGAGGTGTGTGGTGTGTGGGCGGTGCGGGCGAGTGGAGAAAGGGCGCCGGAGGGATGGCTCCTCGCAAGCTGCCGCGTCAGCCACGACTGCAGCATCCTGGTGCACATCGAGTGTGCAGACTGCGCCCTGGCCTCCCACCCCGCCACTCACCCATGGGGTACGCCGTCTTCCACTTCTGCTCAAAGTAGTCCACAAAGGCCTGGCCAGGGAAGTGAGATCGCCAGACCCGGGCCAGGGCCTCCTCTGCCGCCCGCCGTGCCAGCGCCGGGTCCCAGGGCAGGCACAAGTCACGCACCCGGACCAGCGCCCGGCGGAGCTCTGGGTAGTCGATGCCTGTGCAGAGGCGGTGATGCCTGTCCCAGTCATGCAGCAGGTGCCAGTGGCACAGGGCTATCGGGACCCGGTCATTCCATGCATCTCTAGTGGAGAAGGTAGGGTGGGGTGGGGGGTTCAGAAGATGTGAAGAATGGACGTGATCGGGGGCGTGCAGTCGCCGGGTCGCTCCTGAGCGCAGGCATGCGTGGAAGCCGCTTCGGATCAGGAGCTCGGCCTGGCGATGGCCACACACAGTCCCCCCATTGACGCACCGTATGGCCATGTACTGGGGCCGCGACTGGTCGGTGAACACGCACGAGGGCCTCCAGGCTGGCCCAGCCCTCTCCACAACGCCAGCAAGCCAGTGATGGATGAGACCGTGTGTGCTCTGGGCAGCGATGGCGACGGACACGGTGTGCGTCACATGGTGGTCATCCAAGACCATGAGGGAGAAGAGCTCAAACTGCGGCATGGGTATGAGGTGGGGGCGTGAAGCATTCTGCGTGAGCATGGCGCAGGTGTGCCCACCGGTGCTGGTCTGGATTGGCGTGTACATGAAGCAGGGGAAGTGAGATCATTCCCTTTGAGGAGTGGCCTCGCCTCTTGCGACGGGCTTGCACAGGATTGGAGGACCCGATGGGGAACTGCAAGCAGAGGGCATGCGGTGACGCGGGTCAGACTCCCAGCCAGCCTCTGAGTTGAGGGCAGAGGACCATCACCTTCTCCCGTTCCCTTCATACCCTGTTCTCGTTGGTGCCATGCGTAGAGTCCAGAAAGACGGCTCGCTTGTGTCCATACTTGAGCAGGATCTCGAGCTGGCGAGGGGTCTGCCAGCAGAGCAGGGTCCTCCTCCCGCCCTCGCTCAGGTGCCCAAAGTAGTCTGCAGGCGCGGCGTCGATCCTCAGCTGCAGACTGCGCGCCGGGTCGATATCTCGTCTCCAGTCCTTGGCGGCTGCATGGCAACTCAGATTGCTGGGTGGAAGACGAAGAATCAACCGTGAGCCGTTCGAGAAGTTGTCCAGCCACCACCCGCCCGCCGCTTTGCCACACCACCCTACAACAACCTGATGTCCTTGGCCGTGATGTGGTAGTCCCGGAAGAGGTCTGGATAATCCATCTCCAGTCTGTTGGCCTCGACTCCCAACAGCCGTGGCCCTGGGGGCAAGCCCGCCTGCCGCAGGCTGTCCTGCTGCACGAGTCCCACCAGGCTGCTGGTCTGGGTGAGGGGGTCCTTGGCCAAGTGGTCCAGGACCACCTGGCGTGCCCTCTTGGACACCCAGGGACAGCCCTCCACGTGGCGGTCAAGCTCGGGGTACACTCGCCTGCCGGTATGCGGCGCGTCCAGAAAGTGGACCTCGACCGTGCTGGGCTCCTGTCTCAGAACCTTGACGATGAACCACGCCTTGCAGCCCTGCTTCAGCCCATCTCCTCGATCAGGGTGACAGGTACCCTCACGCTTACAGCCAACGCCCTTGTCAGATGTGGTCCGCGGGCCATAGACGCATCGGTACTGCGTCTGCTCTATGAATTTCTGCAAAGTTGGGTGGCTGGCGGCGGTCAGCTCTGGGGTGACAGGAGGATCCTCTGGCGCGCTGCCTCACAATCTAGCTGCTGCCTCACCTTGGTTGGACCAAGCTTGTTGCCAGTGAAGGCGGTGGCATGGGCCCGCGCCTCGCCCAGGATGACATCAGGGACTCGGGATGTGGGGATGACTGCAATGTGCACAGCTCTGTGCGGCGAGACCAGTCTCAACGTAGGGAGCTGTGTCCTCGACAGGGGACCAGGCGGGGGCAGGGTGACTGGCCCAACAGGATCGATCTCTGTTCTTATCATTGGATTTGCAATCTCTTGAGAGGCTCAGGCTGGCATCACAGGGGTAACGCCCGGCAAGTGTCCCTGCCTCAGACCTTTGGCAGTACTGTTGAGCATTGTAGGGTTGCAGTGAGTTTTCGACGTTTGCATGTTCAGATGCATTGGAAGTCAGTCATAAGGGATGTGGGTGGATGACTTTCGATTCACGACTCTGCCCAAGACATCAGCTCCCCCTTGAGCAGGTGAGAGGTCACGACTTCGTCCACTGTGCACAGACTCCACAGCACCTTGATGCGGAGGCAGGAGAGTCATGAGGCTCGAGGCTCAACGGCATCGATGCTTCCTCTGCGATGGTGCGCAAACCTGATCAAAGTCATTCAGTGTCCGAGTGATGCCGACGAGGGGTGGATGATCAGTGATCAGTGTTCCTCCCACCAGCGGGGTTCGTGGCGGCACCCTCGGAGACACGATGAGATGGCCTTGAGATTGGGTCACGCAATGTGTTCCTGTCATTCCAGTAGTCATTCCATAACGTTTAGTAGAATGGGATGGGATTGCGTCCTGGGCTCGATGTCTAGCTCGCAGTCGAGATCGATCTGAGTTAGGGCGCGACGACGTCCGGGCACCGCCCAGGATGTCTGCTTGATCGTCGATGTGACCCAGCATCCAATCAGGTTCAAGAAGCCATTATTACTTTTGGGTTCTGCCTTATCATAGTACTCTATCTGTGTAGGGTGTCGAGTCCGCTTTGGCAAATGGTCGAAGGCATGCCCATCCCTTTGTGTGGGCAACCCGCGTTCCTGCGCCGGCAGGATCGTGGCTGCTCCTATCATGAGCTTACCTCGCTTCGCCATGCTTGTACATGCTCTGTGCACGGGCCGCATTGAGCATCCCGCGTGCTGCCGGAGGGTGATGTGAGCCCACTGCCTCTGAGCAGGTGCTGGAGCACCTGACACCGACCAGCAAGAGGATATTGAGCAGCTGGTGGCGACGCTTATGCCCTGAGGGATGCTGCAGTCGCGCACAACCTGCCCGCTTGCGCTGTGTGATAACCGCGCATGGCGGACTCTGCAGCGGGACGCATGGTGCAGCAATGTCTGTGCTTTGGCGGTGTCTCACTCTGGTCTTCCCAGAAGTGCCCAATGAGTGCTGCCGTGACACCGCTGCCATCATCCTTGGAAGAGCATCCCAGGTGTGCAGGTCGTAGTGATGCCGTCGTGGTGGAAATAGTGTGATGGCGTTGAATCAGTGCTGCATGGCTTCATATCTGAGTTGGGCATGCAATCCATGCTGCGCATTATGCCATTGCAAAGACCCTCACACTCCCTACATCATACAGTCCCTCAGAGGTGTTGTTGCCTCCTGGTGTGCTCATGCGACCACGTAACGCCCCTGGCTGTGTGGTCCAGCCTACAGCAAGCCTGATTGCTAGTCGCTGCAATGGACGAGCCACTTATGCATGGGCGTAGCAGCGAGTTGCATTGGTGCCACTGTTGCATTGGCTGGCCTCGCACCCAGTGGACCCAGCGGAAGCCTGGCTTGCGACTGGACTGGAGCTGGGCCTGTGGACCATTCCAGGCATTAGTGCCTGCGATGCGTGAGCTGCTTTATCAGCAAGCGACAAGCTTTGAGTGGGCTGTGCGCTCAGGGCCTCAGCATCCTTCCATCTGATGGCATCCCAGATGCCAGGCAGTGCCGCGGCGTCTGCTGAGCTGCTGGCGGGCGCATCTCCCCTGTCAAAGGTCTTGGAATTCTAGGTAAGCTTGACTCAGCGGGAGCAAGAAGATTCATGTAGCTCCACGATGTGTGTCTCCATGGCGCGTCGGCTGTCTGTGTCGGGTCGCCTGTCAGTATGGGCGAGGATCTGACTTCCTGCACTTTGCCCACAGTCAAGGCTACACCCCTTGGACTGCAAGCCTTGCGTTTCTTGCCTGTCCTCGGCATGCTCAATACCCAGTGCTGAGACCCTCCTCCTCCTTGCCGCCATTCAGGCCCTTGCAGTGGTGCGTCTGTGGGGCAGTATGGGGAGGAATGTCAGTCCTTAGGGTTACTAGGCCACATTTTGGGGGAACCCCGGTTTTCGTTTTCAGGCCTTTTTTGCTCCCTCTTGCCCAATCTCGTGA